AATATCTTGACTATTGTTTAACTAATACAATTATTGTAATTGCGGTAATTTTGCTGAATCAATTTTACTTCCGATTCTTTTTTTTTTCGTCATATCTTCAATTATTTTATTCACTACAAAAGATTTTATCATATTCTTTATGTTTGTTTACTAAATTGTCAACTTATTTTGTCACTTCTTCATATTCGTAAGTGTTTTTTTCCTCATTTTCATGATTGAATGGACAATTTTCACTTCTCGAAAAGGTATTAACTCGTGTTTACATTAAATGCGATTCTTTTCGCTTCCAATTGATCGATGAAAAGCTTAAAGGTTAAAACCCACTTTACCTTAGAGCGAAAAAAAGTTCTTATTAACCTCCTACAACCCACTTTTCGATTCTCTCTCACTCTCACTCTCTCTCTCTTTTCGAACTTTTTTATATTCGACTAAAGTGAAAGTACATTAACTTTAATTCATTCGTTCATCGTTCTTTCAATCGATTATTTCAATTTTTGTAGGTGAATTTAGAGAAAAAGTGAGAGAGAAAAAAAGATCAAACAATGGCTCATATGATTCTCACTCTGACAGTTACTTTAATCTTCTTTCTATTACAAACTGGTAAGAATTAAATTCAAATTCGCTTTCTCTCAATTAGTGATTTACGATTTAATTGATTTGGATTTTTGTGCTTTTGTGATGACCATTAGATTTATCGGTGTCCAGAAAACCCAAAGGATCTAATAAGAGATGTGTCCTCAAAGAGATGGACAGACAGGCAGAGATTGTCTTTGTTTTCGGCCGTCGAGATGTTTATTTACCCAAAAATCCAACAGAAATGGTTCCTCATTGCAAGTAAGTTAATCTAATCTAATTCTCTTTAATTGTCATTAATTAGCTCTCCCGAAATTCCCAATTGATTAAACATAAAAGTGCCAAAATCTTATTCTTATATACCATTGGATCTCAATCAGATTCTGTTTATCACTGAATCGTAGTAAATTTTACTCGTAAATTTGATAATAATCATTTCTCTTAATTGTTGATTTAAAACTGATTTTTTCTTTTACTAATTATCCTAATTAAGGGAAGAGTTCGATGCTGAAGATTTCGTCAAATCATATTCTCGTCGATGCTTAAAACCTTTACCTCGTCAAATTATCGGTGTTATATTAATGGGTAATTATCTTAATTGTTACGATTACATTATTGTTTATCTGTTGGTTAACTAATCAACTAATTGTTTTGCTAATTACTCTTTACAGGAGCATCACAGGTAATTAAACAAAGATGTACACCAGAGGGGACTAAAGGTAAACATAGATCACATTAAATGATTAAACAATTAAGTAGCATTCAGATCGTAATCATTGATTAGCTTTATCATTAGTTAATTGTTTAAACCGAGATAAAAATTAATTGTTATCATTTAACTGTCAAGGTTATGATTGAAAAGTTAAGTCTACTGGTTAATAACAATAATAATAATCTAACAGGTTAATCAGTGATCCATAATAATTGATTTAAGTTGATAACATTTCCCGGTTAAACAGATAAAATTGATTAACTATCGTAACAATTAGTTGGTGGTGATTTTTAACAATTTAACCATCAAAGTTCAAATTGACTGAAACAATTTGATCGATCGTTATGAATCAAAGTGAAAGTAACAATTTACGTTTAGGTTAAGAAAAAGGAAAATCAATTAACCAAATCAATTTCGTCAATAACAAATCTCAATGAACAATTTAATGTATTGATAATTACCAGCAATCAACAACTTGATACAAAATGATACTTACGAACATGCAACCATTACATTTAATTGTAGACAATTCTAATTGTTGGGTAACCATTTTATTCAACAATTTGACGTAACTTTTTTTTTCATCCTTTTCCAGAATATCTGAGTCACTATGATTGTATTTACAATACGATTCCTCATCTCCACGATTGTATGGACCAACTAGTGGTCAGTTTACATGAGATCACGAAGAAACCGGTGGAAGAGCGGATTCCACAGGCTTGTTGCTCTTTCAGTCGATATATTTCATGTTCGGTGAAACCAGTTCGAAAAATGTGTCCCAAAGATCCAACAGCGGAAGATTATGTGGCCGTTAAGATGATTAAAGGTAAACAATCGTGAATCAAATTTGATGGAAAATCAATAATTTGTTTCAATTGAGACTAATTTTGTTCACCTCTTAAATCAATCAACAGGTTATGCTAGTGAGGTTTTGGACATGGTCTGCCAGGGATATGATCTTGGCGGTGAGAAATGTAATAAGATCACATTGCCCGATGGCGGTTTTAAAGATGAATCAGGTCAACTTTTGGTTGCAGTTCGAAATGTTACCGATCGTCCTCATTCAATAATACCACCCTTTATGGACATTTTCACCACAAATTAGGTCATTTTAAGGGAGGACGGAAAAGTTTGCATGAGTTTTATCATTTGGAAGAGGAAGAAGAGGAAGAGAGAGTGAAAAGAAGAGTCGAAATCGAAAGTGAAATTAAATATTATTATTACATTCAAATGGTCACTCAAAAAGTCAACAACAATTAATGAACACAATCAATTTTAATTGTATTACCTTAGCTTAGTTTTTTGTTCATTTGTTTAATTTTCTAATGCAAGGTTGTTCCCAAACCACCGTTAATCAAGTGAATTGAATTGCAATCCAATTGTTTATTTTTTCTCAATACAAACTCTTCATTCATTAAATCACCATCATCATCATGCAAAAATTTACGATTCATTGAGTATCTTTTTTTGTAAGTGTTTTTTTTTTCAACAGTTTTGTCAATATTTTTGCACTTTTCAAAATTTCAAAGTTCACTCACTGATTATATTATCAAATATAATAAAATTTTTCTTCTCTTTTTCGATAAATATAAATAATTGTTGATTAATTTGCTTCCTTGAACAGAGTTGACACTTTATCGCGACTTTTATTTGGAAAAAAAATAAAACTTTTTTTTTATCTTTTCCATCGTCAGGTCAAGATGTGTTTGAGATGGTTCACTAATTCTAATCGCGATTAACTAATCATGATAATAAACCTGCTGGTTAGTTGATCGTCAACAAGAGTGAGAGTGATTTAAGAGATTTATTGAGAATTACTTTTAATTACTGTGTCAGAAAATTTTTCTATCACCTAATATAATTGAATAGAGAGAAAGTGAGAGAAAGTTAATGGTTGAAATAAATTGACACCAATTTACAGAATTAAAGGTCAACAACTTAAGGTCAATGGGGATAAATTTGATTTTCATCTTAAAAATTGTGAAAATCTAAAGAACAATTAAGTTAATCGATTTTACCATTAATCGTATCAACCAGTTAATCTCATTAGAATTGGTCATGTGCCTCATCAGCTGATTGTTCATTTTGAAAAGGAAAATATTTCAGAATCAATCATTTGTTTATTTGTTTTCGTTTTATTTTCTTGCTAAAAGGTAATTGATTTTGTACTTCGAACCGTTTTTTAATCATGTCCAGTGATCATCCATCTGATTGTGTTGGAATTGATAGCGATCAGGCCGGTAAAGCTCCAGGATGTGCTGGTTGTCCCAATGCTGAGATTTGTTCATCGACTAAACCTCAAGTTGATGAATCGGCTCAATTGCTTCAAATCGAGAGGAGATTAAGATCAATCAATCATATTATCTTGATTATCTCGGGTAAAGGTGGTGTTGGTAAAAGTACATTCTCATCAATTTTATCGCGTTTTCTGGCCTCCAATGAAACGATTAACGTTGGATTATTGGATATTGACATTTGTGGTCCATCGATACCTCGAGCTATGGGTTTAGAGGGTGAACAGGTTCACATGTCGGCCGATGGTTGGTCACCTATTTTCGTCCAAGATAATTTGGCCGTTATGTCTTCCGGGTTTCTTCTTGGTTCTCTTGAAGATGCTGTCATTTGGCGAGGACCCAAAAAGAATGGACTAATCAAACAGTTTCTCTCTGATGTCGATTGGCCTCCTCTTGATTATCTTATTATCGACACTCCACCGGGAACTTCGGACGAGCATCTTTCAATTGTTTCTTACCTTAAAAAGTGTTCCAACCTGAGAGGTGCTCTCATTGTGACCACACCTCAAGAAGCGGCTCTTCTAGATGTTCGTAAGCAGATTGATTTCACACGGAAAGTTGGCCTACCGATCATCGGACTCATTGAGAATATGTCACATTTTGTTTGCTCTTCATGTTCAAAGGAATCTTTTATCTTCAAGCCAACATCGGGTGGAGTTAAATCATTAACAGAATCAACTAACATTCAACTTCTCACTTCAATTCCAATTGATCCGATTATTGGAAAATCCATTGACCTGGGAATCGCTTGTTGGGATGAGAATAATAAATCACCCGCAGTCAATGCCTATCGAACTCTAAGCAGAAAAATAATCAACATGTTCCCGGTTTAGAAAATTGATTTAGTTTCGTTTTCTTTTACTATTACAATAAGAGAGTGCAAATAGTTACAAATAATGGTCAATAAATATTCACATTGGCTTTTTGATTAACCTTTTTTCTTTTTACGTTTTTGCAACAATTTAAACCTTTTCGAATTGGGTGTTTGTCGCAAAATTTGATTCGATATTTACACGAATAATTTAATTATCAAGTGTTAGCTTTTTTTATGTGTAAAAAAGGAGGAAAGTTGACCATTTCTCGTTTTACTAATCATCGTCACTTGAAGCATATTTATCGTAGATATTTCTTGTGGACTTTTGTCCCTTTTTCCAATTGAGAAGAAAATCCGTCATCGACTTATCGTCCAGGCCACTTTGTTTTTCCAATCCTTCAAGATCGTTCATTAGTTGTTCCCTTTGTTCTCTGATATTTTTCAATTCCTCTTCATCTTGAACAATTGCTCGATTCATTTGATTAATTGCCTCACAAATATCATCAGACAATTGTTTAATAGCATCTTCGGTTGCTTTAGAACTGGGAGTTCTTGGAAGATAATAGGGAATGGATGAAGAAATTGAGCTTTTATAACTGGTTGATGGTAAATCTAATTTAGTCATTAAATCGTTGAGCTGATTGTTTGGCTGATGATCTCGATTTGTAGAGCCAATCGAAAAACCAACACCTTTACGAATTTGTTCCTTCTCCCAAAGGTCAATTTCATCTTCAGAATCATCACTATCATCGATATCTCGATTTCTATTATTATATGTATCTTTATCCTCTTCTTGAGCTTGAATGAAAGCTTCTTTAGTTCTCTCTCTTTCAATTGCTTCTCTATCAACAGCGAAATCAATCCTATCATCTTCATCTTCATCGTCATCGTCATTATCACCTTCCTCTTCGTAAACTGGTTGCTCATCATCCATATGACCCAAGGCAATTCTTTCCGCTGCTGTCTCTTCTTCCACCGAGATGAAATCTTCGATTGTATTATCAATCTTCATCTTCTTACGATCTTCCTCACGCTTTTTTCTAGCATCATAAATTTCTTTGGCAGAAGGAAATTGTCCCTCTCTCATTGGTTTGAATTGATGACTTGAAATCTCCTTAAAATGAATATTTTTCCTGTAATTTTAGATGAAATAGAATCAAGATTAACTTTACTTTCAGGGTGTTTTCTTTTGTAAAAAAGGAAGAAGATACTTACTCTTTGGGTGTTGGTGGAAGATCTGAGGTTTCAATCTCTGATTTTTCATCTTCTTTGCTTCTTTGATTAAAAGAGAAAAATGGTTCACTATTTGATAGTTTATCGGATCTTTTGGTTTCCTCTAATTTCTCCTCTTTTCTTTTCTCTTTTTTTCTCTTTTCATCTGTTTGGCAATTCGTCTACTATAAGCTGACTTCTTAACCTGGAATACATCAGCATCCTCTTCATCATCACCAAAGCTCAATTTTAATTTCACCTTTGCTTCAAATTTTTTCTCTCCCGCAGCAGATTGAGATGAAGGTTTAAGAACAGAAGAAGATGCAGGCTCATCAGGTAAGACAGCAATTCCACCGGTACCACCATCATCACGTACTCTTTGAAATTCACCAGTATTTTGAGATTGTTTTAAAATGTCAATTTTTTCATCAACCGGCTTAACATTAGTTATCGTCCTACTCTCATCATCTTCATCCGAGTCATTTCGGGTAACTCGAACATTAATTTTACTTTTGGGTTTTTTAAAAAGTGACATCAGTCTGAAAGGTAATACTGATCTTAAAGAGTATAAAAAAAAGGCGAGTAACACACAATATTAAATAAAAAGAAAAATCAAAGAAGAAGATGAAATCAATTAATAAAAATAATGAAAAAAGGATAAAAAAAAATATTCTCAACCAATCAAGTCAAGTATAAACATTGATTCTTTCAAGAATGACAGCAATTCATGATGGTCACAAACATCGATAGGTGAATATAGTTAGTTAACGGTCTCAGGGTAATTAATTAGCGTAAAAATTGAGTCCACAATCAGTAGTAATTAAGCAAATTAGTTTAAGGCCGAAAAAAATAAAAACAATGTTACATTTAAATTCAGTTCTTGTTGCTAAGCAACCAAAGTGTTTACATCGAGAGAAACGCCATCTATTTATTTTGGTGGAAAATAAAAAGTTCAGGAAAATACAAAAGAAGAAAAATTTTGAGTATGTTGGATTTTGACAAACGTGGAAAAGAATTAAAATTTAAAAGTTAATAATTTGAATCGATTGTAACATGAAAACATTTCCTTCTCATTCGGGAACATTCCTGGGAACAGTCACATTTCCTCCAACAGAACTTGGGGCAAGTGTTTTCTTTTTTCGTCAAGTCGAAATTAAAAGCACAAGAAAGTTTCGTTCGTTTCGCCTTTTTGTACCATGGCCTTCGTTTCCTGGCCCGTTTTCTTACTCGTTTCCGAACGATATTCATGGAGTTGACCTGAACCGGCTGGACACTCGTTGATTTATTTTCTTCTATTTGTTTACATGGTTCAATCGCTTCGATCCATTGGCCATAAGATGTCACTTTTTCAATCTGATTGTTATTCTCACCTTGACCAACTAAATTGACTTGATTAACTAAACCAACTGAATCAGTTGAATCAATAGAATCAAAGTTCATGAAAAAATTATCCTCAACATTATCAGGAACCAATGCCAATTGTTTATCCGTTGATTGGTTATAAGATATTGGTGGTGATATCGAGGATGATGAAGAGTATTTTAATTGTTTGTTTCCATTATTATTAAAACTCTCGGTGATTAATGGTAACTGGAGTAATTCTAATTGTTCAATCAAGTTTAAAGCATAACAATCATCAGCCATTGATGATCCATTGTAAATTAAATCATATAATGATTTTAATCCGTCACAATTGAAACTTTGTAATCTCATCTGTTCACAACCATTAACAAAATCACCACAAAATTTATTCAAATAATCAAATTTAGGTGAAACATTTTGTAAAATAATTTTATGAAAATATAAACTATTTCCTTGACAATCAATTAAAAGATAATCTTTCTCACAATTAAGTCTCTTAATTTCATCAATTAAAATTTCTACAACTCGAGGCACAGCTAATTTAATAGCAACTTTCATAGACATTGTGACAATTAACTTGACCTGGAATCAACTGATTAACAATTAACTTCCCTTTGACAGTCAACCCATATTTAAGGTTACTAATGATAATCATCTTAACGGTAAACAACACTTGATTGTTAAAGTGGAAGAAGATTAAAACAATTAATAAACTAACAAAAATTTACAATTTACTTGAAAAAAGTACAATTAAAATACAACAATCTAATTGATGACTGGCGTTAAATCAATCAATTTAAGTTCAGTGTGATCAATATCAAGTAATGCAAATAATTACCAAGATGATAATTGCTAATTACGATATGAAAATCAACAATTGTTTGGTTAATTTACCTTCACCCCCTTGATCAACAATCAAAGTGTATCATTAACTTTAGATTGTTGATTAAATTGTTATAAGTTGAACATAAATTGTAGAGTTAAGAAAAAAAAAGACAATCAAATTGGTCAATCGGTAACGAAAGTAAATCGATCGATTCAATTAACTTAACAACAATCAATATTCAATTCACTCGTTACCCGGTAACCATTTGGATCGATGAAATTTAGTTAAATCATAACAAATCAATCACAATTATAATTATGAGCTTATGGTCATTTCAATTTGTAATCAAAGTTAAATCTCAAATGTTGATTTGTCTTTGATAATTTGTTAATTGTTTGTCTTAACAAAAAACGAGCTTATTTAAATAGCAATGCTTGTGATTAACTGATTAATTGGTAAAGTGTTTAGCTATTATTGTGGACAATTAATCTAACAATGTAAGTTAATCTTTCTTGTTATTTTGATACATTTATTTTGTTCTTGATCTTAATTGTTTGCTTAATCTACTATTGAAAAAGGTATTCAAATGAGGAAGCAGTAGTTAATGATGACGATTGTGTTGACAATCAATCAATTGTTGATTCTAATCAATCAAGTGTTGAAGTGGACTCAACATCAGCATCACCATCAACAGCAACAATTAATCAGCCCTCAGGCTATAATTGTTCAGAAACCAGTGAGGTTGCCAAAAAAGAGGCTAATCTATTGGCTAATCTAATCGGACGAAGTGGATTAACTGATTGTGATGTTGATTGTCAATCTAAAGATAACAATAACAACTTAAGTACTTTTGATATGTGGATGGACATGGATGAGATTGATTTAGAAGTAGAGAATCAGGATAATTCAATTAAATCAGTTCAATCATCATCAAAAGAGACAATTAAATCGACTAATCAGTCAAATCAAATTGATATTGATGCTAATTGTTCATCTAATCATTTGGATAAAGTGAAACATGAAATGAATATTAATTTACGAGATGAATGTGCGCAAATCAACAATTCAATTAACTCAGGAGATGATTTATTATCACTGGTTGATTCTTAATTATTAACAATTAACTAAATTGTGATCAACTTTCAACTCTGCAACTTTTGTTTACTTAATAATTGTAATCAAAATCTTCTAATTGGTTACCTAATATATTTTGCTTATTACTGTCAATGAATTGTGAATGTTAATTGTTTCATGGCTGGTGTTTAATTCAAATTTGGTGAAATAAATGAATTCTCATTGACAAATTTTCATTGTGAGAAATTGAATTGTAATTAAATTATTAATGAGTTGACAATTATTACAACATAATTGAATTAGAAAGAGAGATAGAGAGAGAAAAGTCAAAAACATAAAGCAAAAGGTTGAAACATTGAAGGTGGGAAGTGACAAAATAAACATTTACGGCTTGGTTTCAAATAATCAAATTAAATTGTGATTTAATTTGCAACCTCGAGGTGAAAGTTGAAGGTTTTGTCGGAATGACCTTGAAAAAGAAATGAAATCAAGAGAAAGATGTAACTGTTGATTGTAATCAAGTGTTAGTGTTAATCATAGAAATGAATGGTGATTGGTTTCGTTTTGGTTTTTCCTTTTTTTCTCTCATTTCCTTTTCCTATCCACCAGAATCAAAGATGATAATTATGTTAATTAAGATGATGATGAAGGCAAAATGATGATGAGTTTATGGTAAAACTAAAGGCAAAAATGATGTGAATCAAAAATTGAAGATGCAGGAGAGATGAGCAAAACCAGCGAGAATACATTTTACAGTTTAATCTCATCATTAATTGGAGTTAATGATAATTGTTGAAGTTAACAAGATTGTTGATTGACTAGACAGGTTTGTCCGAGCGAGTTAATTATAAATCTGGGAAAGTGAAATATTAGTTTATCGCCAATTGCAATTAGCGGGAAATATTGATCCGCATTTTCTTGGTGTCTTAATTCAGCGTTTCTATCTTCGTTTTTGTTAATTGTTTCTCCTTTTTGATACAATTTGAAATAATTGTAACACTAATTTTTGATTTATGATGATGAAGGTGGGTGATGATTTCTTTAAATATGAATGAATAACAATAAATGGGAATAATTTCAACATTGTTTTCAATTCTCCAAGTGATTAATCTAATCATTATTAAACTGGTGATAAATTTTGGTTTCTTGAATTTGTCAATTTGCTGATTGTTCCTGTTGATTTTTTTGTGTTAAACTGTTGCAATGGGACAGTTAATATGAAGTAAAACATATTCAGAAAATCAACTAATTTTGACAATTAACTGAATTCAATTGGAGGGGTAGTTGTGTTTCTGTGCGTTCCAGGTGAAGGTTAAATTGTTGCAAGTTTATCTGGAAGTACTTGATTGAATGAAATAAAATTTACGGGATTTTATCCGGATAACAATCAGTTAGTAATCAAATTGTAAAATCAAAAAATAATAATAACCATTGATCACAATTAACTATGTGTTTAGTTGGGATTATGTTGTTGCTTGGATAAAGTTTGATGTGTTTAGATCATCACCTTTTAGAAGATGTTTGAATTTCAAGCCAGAAAAGCGATGAATATTGCAGATTAATCTGTTCCATCAAAATTATCGCAATTATGATTCGCTTTTTGTTGAGCATAATCAGGAAACAATGACAACTGATAATTATTAAAATTGGACGAATACGAAAGAGAGTTTGTTTAAAAATGGTAACTAAAACATGGAAAATCCAATGAATGTGGCATTTGTTTTGGTTTTTCAGTAATTAAAAGAATCTGGAACTGATTTTTTAACGTTAATGATGGAAAATGAAGATAACAATTAGATGAATTGATGAAATTTTTGAGTATATGAACGTTGCTATGTTGCCTTTTCGACCGGGTGATTGATTAATTTCCTAGATTAAATCCAAAGGTTTTCAATTGGATAACAGTTGAACAAAACTAGTTGGAAAAACGCCTTTTCTATCGGGGTCACCTTCGACTACTCCTTCCATCCAGTCATCATCATCAGTCTTTTCACTTAAAATTAAAATTATTTCACCTTCTTTGAATGTTAATTCATCATCTCTTTCAGCTTCACAATCATAAAGTGCTTGACATCTACGAATGCGACCTGTTGCAATGTCAGTTCGTTGCTATTGATTGAATTTCAACAAAAATAAAAAATAGAGATTATAAGAAAGTTGGACTAAGTATTTAAATCGTAATTGTAAAAAATCAGATTGGTACCTTTCTTGGAGGTGGTACAGGTAAACTACGTGCAACTAGTTCAGAATCAATTGTTGTCACTGTTGGTTGTATTGATGGTGGTGATATCGAAGTTAGTTTTTCAATTGATTGGCCATTGCTTAATCTACGATTTGATTGTTTGGATGTTTGAATTGGTGTTGTACCAGTTTTTACCGACAATTTACTCTCTAAATCTCTTAAATTACCCGACGAACCTGAAGAAAGTTGAGAAAAAATAGATAAAATTAGCAAGTGTGTACATGGAAACACTAAAGAAAATGTTAATTAATTACCATAGAGGTAACCGTGGTGAGGTGATCTAATCGACGGAGGACCAATGGTTGTTGATCGATTTAAAGCTTGTGAGGTGGAAAGGGGAGATGGTACATTGATTGGAGAGGGTTTTAAGGAAGATGGAGCTTTGGTTTCGGAGGAAGGGTCGTTTTTAAATGTAACTGCAAGTTCAGCCGAAATATCTTTCCACTGAGTAACTTTCTGCATAAGTGCACTAGTATCACTGGTCGCCCTTGAGTGTAGATAAAGACGTCCAGCTCGAGAAATTGACATTTTACCATCAGATGAAGATGGAGATTTGGATGAGGCTACAGAGGAGGGAGATTCATTTTGGTTGGCGGTGGTAATAGCAGTAGAGGTAGAATGTGATTCATTGGGTTTTTCTTCAACTGAGTATTGTCCTTGTCGTGTAGACACTAAACTGGTTGTTGGGGTGGTAATTGAAGAGGTTGTTGTTGTTACTTTGGGTGCTTTTGGTGCTTTCTTTTTTATACTTCCACTGTTACCAAATAATGAGATTATCTTTCCTTTACCTGGTGTGTGTTTGAGGTCTTGATTAGTTGTAGTTGAGGTTAATGTTGATGTTAAAGGTGATTCACTGCCAGCAGCACTTGATGGACGTGAACGATTTATGAAACTAGAGGGAAGTTGAAACTGTGGTTGGTGACTTGTTGGCTGTTGGGGTGTAAAAGGGAAATGAGAAAACAACAATTAGTAATCAGAAATCAATACAATGTATTAAAAAAATTGAATATTAGACCATATTGATATGGAAGTAAAAAAGTCTATTTACAGAGAAAATAAAAGGTAAAAGCAAAAGCAAATATTGTATTTAAAAAAAAACGATCGGAAAAAAAGACAATCAAAATAATGGAGAAGCAAATTTGGTGACAAAAAAATTGTTTGATTGATTTGTGTTGTTTGTGTTAGTTGAGGAGATTAATTACCAGATTAGTATAATCAATTTTTAATTGTGGTAGATGTTCAACGGACAATGACTGATCCAGGGAGGAAAATAAACACACTTCTTCATCTTCATCATCATCTTCACCTTCTCGCTTTGAGGTCAACTCACTCGACGCTCTGTTTGGTGAACTAATAACAAGATCAGCAGTTGTTGAGCCATTTAAAAATAATCGTCTAATATCAGTGTTTGTGTTACTATTGTCATCAGAAAATAACCATTCGTAGCATTGTTTGGTCATTAACTGAACACATTATAGTGGGACACAGTTAGTTTAATATGATGAATTATGATGGACAATTAAATGAGGAAACAATTTAAATTGTTGTAACAGGTTGTTGTTTGGTTGAGGGTTTTGTTTTGTGGGTAAAGGAAAAGGAGACAAGTATTTTTAGTGTTATAAATGAAAAGCAAGTTAGTTCAAAGGTAAAAGTGACGAATGACAGTTACTACAATTAAAACAGAATTGGAAATAATCAAATTAAGAGTACAAGCTTACCTTTTCATCAATAATATCCTCATCACTAAAATCTGTTAAAATATCTTCCATGGGTACCGATGGAAGACCCCAGTCAGTGTTAACATTTTCGAATAAATTTTTCTTGTTAGCATTAGCATGTTCCAACTGTTGATTAAAAAGGATAATATAATATAATAGATGAAAATTATACATAAATAGGGAGAAAGGGAGAGATGTAGAAAATACTCACCAATTCGATTAGATTAGAAAGCTCCTTTTCTTTAGCTAATTGTAGAGGTGTTTTACCTTCGTTGTTTTTAATTGAAGGATTAGCTCCACATCGGAGTAATATTTTCATACATTCACTTTGGTTATGAAGGACACAATAGTGTAAAGGTGTGTTACCTTGTCGATTTTTAATATTTAGATCGGCATTATTTTGTGCCAAAAAGTCAATTATGTGAAGGGATGTACCATCTTCTCGAGAAATGGCAATATGAAGACTCGCTTCACTATTACCGGTGAAACTGGGCAAGGTCCAGTTAAGGTTACCACCTTCAACGAATACTTGTAACACTTGGTAAATGTTTCGAGATAAAATTGCTTGTTCAAGATCATTTTTAAGATCGTTAACATCACCACTACAGGAACGAAGGGCAAACTTTTTATCAACATATTTGGTTCGTATAAAATCAAATCGTTCATCCATTGAACTGGTTGGTTGTAGTTTTCTAGTTGGATCTAAAATGGCTTCCATTATATCATTGAAACCAGCATTGGACATGACTCGAGCAAGTAAAAGCTGAGAGGTTCCAATATTATCAAGGGTCAATGATTGAACTCTAGAAATATGGACACCTAGATCACGATGGATTCCGGAACATTCAATACAAAGGACAACACCAAAATTGGTAGATAACCAGGTTGGATCTTTGGTAGATGCACAATCGACACACTTTTCATTGCCAGGAAGTTTGAGAACTTGATTTATTACACTTTGTCTCAATTCAATTAACGATTGAGAAGCATGATTACCCGATCGGTAAGATCCTCCCATAAGAGATGAACTGTCCAGTGAGACGGGAGCAGAATCGAATTCCTTTTTCAAAGCATTCTCTTTGCTGTTCAATAAAACCGAGATCCAGGCCTCACATTCATTTTCGTCTTCCGCTTGAAATCGATAGGTACGATCACAAGAAACTAGATCAAAAAATTTCTTCTCATCGGGAACGGGTTTAACCTGACAGGTTAAAAGGTTCACTTTGGTTGGTGCTTTCGATTCATCGGAATGATGGACATAAAGATAACCATCTTTAACTTCACACCGTCGTTTAAACCAAACTTTAACTTTCATTTTACCTTCAGATTTTTTCAAAAGGTAACCAAGCTTGTAGACACCATAATTTTTGTTCCCTTGAATTTGATGGAGAGTATAACCGCCTCGACTTTCACGACGATCAACAGTTGATGTACCCGAATGACTTAATTGGTTAAAGGTAATGTTGTTTAGATCCTTTGATTGTTGTCCATCAATAGAAGGAGAAGTTGATCGTAGAAGAGTTCGAAGTTCAATTAGACTTTTTCTCTCTTCGTCTCGTCGTTGTTTAATTGTTTGTAAATTACTGGAAAGCTCAGCGATGTAGTAATTAAAATGTTCGATAGTCTTAAGGCCATCCTGGAAGTAGCTCGTTTGAGCATGATAATAGTCGATTAGGTGGGATAACAATTCAACACTTGTTTTGGTCTTAATTTCATTCACTTTGATTAAATACTCGCATAAAGTGAGTTGTAAAAGTTTTCTCTCTTTGTCACATTCTTCATCTACATGTGAACTGTCACTTTTAAAATGTCCAGATTCTTTAGCTTGAGATTTTTTCTCTTTTTCAATTTTGGCCAATTTTGATTCATAATCTCGATAAGCCTTATCAAAAGGCTTCTTTAGATCTCCTTTAGCTCCTTTCAAATCCCCTTTAAGAATATTTTCCAAAGGAAACATGACAATATTTTTCATACTTTGCATCAAAGTTCCCAACAAATTTGACAATTCTTTGGTAACAATGGCGAATTTTTTGAATGCAGCTCCAATCTCAAATTCATTGTCTTTAAACTCGGCATTTTCACCCAACTTATCCAATACCTTAGAAAGGTAAACTTCATTATCACAGTGAGCTGGAAGAGTGAAGAAGTAAAAAAGAAGATTAAGAGAAAAAAAAACATCATTAATGGTGAAAGAAACAAAATATAATCAAATTTTAAAAAAGAAACATTAACTCAAACAGGAACAGAAAGAAAAGACAAAATTGAATTATTTGAGTTCAATCAGATGATTCGGATAATTTTCACTCGCGTCAACTTACAATTACCACTGTTATGAATCGCTTTCAGAGCTTTCTTCATTTTCATCAATCCCTCTCTGTCAGAGTCCAGCATCTAAATAAAAAGAAGAAGAAGATACAATTAAAATCAATTATACACTAATAAACATAGAGAAACCAATCAGGTTTATTATTAGTTACATTAGAAGCTTTTTTGGCAATAGCTTCATGTTTACACTTAGTATCCTATCTTCATCTCATACTCTTTCATCTTCTGATTTAACTTACATTTTCATTTTGAATAATATCCATGTATTTTTCAACAAATTTGATAACCACCATTTCTGATGAATTAAAAATTTGTGTTAAATCTTTTTGCATCTGTTGTTCACTGTTGAGAAAGAAATAAAAAGAATAGAATATATTAATAAAAAGAGAATAGAAAAAAAAATGAAAAAGAAAAAATTAGTAAGAGAGATACAAGAACAAAATCGCATTACAATACACATATCATGTTAAATATACTTATTACAATTGTAATAAATACTTTACAAGTAAAGGACAAACGAGAGAATATAATTTACATTAAGAATAATAGAACAGAAATTGTTAAATCATCGTAATTAGATAATAAATTTAGACCAAATTAACAATAGGAATAAGTAGATGCGAGAAAAGGTGTAATATCCACAATGAGACCGCTTACCTCATGTTTCTTACTTGAAGATGATTTGGAATCCCTTTGGATTAGATTAAAGTAGGATAACAATTAATCACTTGTAAAATAAAGACTATCCACTAAATTGGATAAATATCAAAACTATCATTTAATTTAATCGAAAATTGTCAAATCAATTACATGTTTAGTTTAGTGTTTACACAAAAATGTCAATGATTTTAATTTCTGTCTACATTTAGACCCGAACGACTTTGGCTCCATCTTTTGTTATTTTTTGTTATTCTTTTTTCGTGTGAGTTTGAAAACTTTTCAAATTGAAACTTGATTGTCAATCGAAATTAATTTAATCTCTTTTTGAGTGATTAACTTAAATTCGAGTGATTATTATGGGTAATTTTTACCCATAACTCGAAAATCACTTGAGTTGAGTTTTTTTACGTTCTCTTTCAGATTCTTGTGGTTGTTAATGTTTTCTGATTTCTTTTCTCAATAGTTATAGATTTAGGTAACAATTAGTGTAAATCAGTTTTATGAATTAACTTTTGTCTCCATTGTTGATCATTAAGGTTTAACAGGTTTGGTTAAGATTCATTTTAATTAGTATAATTTCAGCTGGTAACTGGTTTTGTTTTGTTTTGTTTTTCTCTCTCACTTTAAGTGTTAATCATTTTGTCAAATCAGCTGATGATTTAGGAGATTTTTAATTTTCCTATGGATTGAGTTAATTGTTGTGATTTTTTCTTTCTAAATCTGAGAACAATTAAATGTTCATTGAGACATTTTCTTTTGATAACAATTTCATCTAATTTGATGTTTACTTTTTCCAATATCTCAATAACTTCATCCGGTTGATTCTCTTGGCTTAATAAGAGATAAATTAATCCATCATCAGCAATTACATTGATTATTGTTTCGATAAATTTGTCAATCACTCGACGACCTTTGATTCCTCCAGCCCATGATTTGGTCAATAAATTGTCACTTTCAATCTAAAAAGAAATAAACAAAAACAATTAGAATATCGTAAGAAAAAATTTTCAATCAATTAAGCTTAATTGTTGCTCATTCTCTCACCTCACAATCATCTGTAGGCACATAAGGTGGATTGAAGACAATTAAATCAACATTAGATTGTAATCGATGTTCCAATGAATCAATTAAATTGGTTAACACAATTTCAGGTGAATAAATGAGATTATTGAGGTTAAATGTTTCTTTACAAGCGATACCAGCATTCGGATTAACATCAGTACAACTGAAAAGATTATCACCAGGATTAGTTTTCTTGTTAATCAACAGCAACAATTATACTTAATTGTGAATAGAAATGTAAACAATTACTAACATGAAGTAAGAAAAGCCATTGACACCAAGGTGTTTACTTAAAGCCGACGTAATAATCCCCGAACCAACACCGATCTCCAAACAAATAGTAGGTCTTTAGAAGACAAATAAACAGTTAATGAGAGAAACAATTAAATTGTGATGAAACTGATACAACAATTAAACACTTACCTTGCATCTTTAATTAATTGTAAATCTTTTTCCAAGCCATCTAACAATAAGAAACTATCTTCTGATGGCTCATAAACAAATCCATTGGCAGTTGAATAAAACGGAGTTTCCATTGGATTTAATCAATTTAATCGATCACCAGTCACCAGTGGATCTTTAATTGTCACCAGTAGAGGAACAATTTATAAATCAAAGGAAAAGAATTGAAAAAAACAAGTCAACAATTAGTAGAGAAACAATTTCACCAACAAAAACAATTCTCATCAACTGTTACCTTGACGACAACAATTTGAGAGGGATTAATGTTGAGATTAACTTTAATTGTGAACACCAAATTCACGGGAATTTAAATTAATTTCAATTGGAAAGTGAATTCAGTTAACATTGATTAACCTTTTGTTTTTAATTGTGATCAAGAGGAAGAAGGAGAAGAAAAAAACTCAAAGGTAATTTAAAGATTGGTGAAGAATTGAAACAAAATTGATTGTTCATCTTTCACTGTTCATGTTTTAAATTGTTCCATGGTTGTTGAGCTCCAGTGATTAATTTGTTAACAATTTAATCTAAATTGTTTCAATAACAGAATCTCATCTTTTTACTTTGCTGGTTTCCAATTGTTGCAAATGTTGTTCATCTGGTTGTTAGAGCTCATGAGTGATGTTGACACTTGTTACAGAACATGAATTCTAAGTGATTGTTTCATTTTCCCTTTTAGACACAAAATTGTTAACAATTAAATGGTTAACCAATTTTACCATTTTTAATTTATTTCCACAATTTAACCATGTTCTCTTTTAGTTTAATTAACTGTGGTAATTTAATCTATCCTAAGATGAGATGGACTTTTCTTATTGTTTGTCTATTCCAGTCATCTTTTGGCTTTCAGGTGAAACATTTGCCTATGTTAATGCCCAATGTTCAGCCAACTCAGGTAAGATTTTCACCTTAATTTAATTAATTTAATTGTTTCAATTACCTTTAAGTTATTTCAGATTCTTTCCTTCACCAATTCCTTACCATATCATTAATTTAATCACCTTTTTTGTCAATTAAATGTTCCATTCTAATTTCTATAATTCTCCATATTGTTGGATAGCCAATATTTACCTTTAACCAGCATCATTTTTTATTCTCTTTCCAATTACTTAACCTTTTCTATGTCATTTATAATCGATGATTATTGATTGATTATCTTTACAATTTGTGTAAATGTCTGTGGTGAATTAATTTTTAATTGTTTATCCATAAAAATCTAATAGAAATGAAACAAAATATTCTAAAGCTCTTTGACCTTTTATGCTCTGCTGGTCATGAGTTTCTTAAGTTGTGGATCATTTTTAATAACAAGCAGCCATTTTCTTTTTAATTTTCTTCTATTTAATTTTGTTCTTTTTTCTTTTTTTTAACAGAAAGACACCTATTTGTGTACAGCATTTAAAATGCCCCAAAAAGAGACCGAATATGTGATTGAATTTCTTCCAAATGCCACCATGGCCACAGCTCATCATATCTTAATCTATGGGTGTAAAGTGCCGGGTTATTATGAGAGAGATACTCCTCGAGCTGTTTGGGATTGTGGTGAAATGTCCAGTTCTTCGGGCACTCAATCAGCATATCGACGATCATCTGTCTGTTCTGGAGCTTCATCAATCATTTATGCTTGGGCTATGGATGCACCGGAACTTATATTACCTCAATCGGTTGGATTTAAGGTTGGAAAAGGGACCGACATCAATTTCCTAGTATTACAAGTCCATTATGCTCATGTCGATAAATTTATTGCCGGGGAAACCGATTCATCGGGTATAACACTTTCCATGGTTCCAGGTCATGCCAATATTGTCACCAAACGAGCTGGAGTCCTGCTCCTTGGGACCAGTGGTCTGATTCCGGCAAATTCATATGAACACATGGAAACAACTTGTACCATCTCTCAACCCATTGAATTACACCCATTCGCTTTTCGTACCCATACCCATAAATTGGGTAAAGTTGTGTCAGGTTGGTTTGTGCGAGATGGAAATTGGCAATTAATCGGTAAACATGACCCTCAAAAACCACAGGTAACAATCAATTTAATCTTGATCAATTCTCCACTTCATTCATCATCCGTATCCTGTTATTATCATTTCAAAATGTCAAATTTTCTATCTGTTTTGTTTCCATGTTACCTTGTTATCTTGTTAATCAAATCACTTGTCAAAAATATAATAGAAAAGAGAGAAAAAAAATCCCAACAATCAAAGTTGTTAACAACCATTTAATAGATACAATTAACTCAATAATCTCTCTCTCTCTTTTTCTATTAGATGTTTTATCCAATTTCTGAAGAATCGATTGTCATCAAACAAGGTGATATTGTCGCAGCTCGATGTACAATGGATAATTATTTACCTTTTATGGTCTCAATTGGATCTACCGGTGATGATGAGATGTGTAACTTTTACCTAATGTATTGGGTTGATGGAGATGATGAATTGCATCGTAAATATTGTTTCTCCCCTGGTCCACCCCTTTACTATTGGTCCACTGATCCTTTGTTACAGGGTAAAATCTCAAATGCTGTTGATCGAATGGCAAGTGAATTATAAGGAAACTAATCAACTTTAAGATAATTAAACGTAAACCTTGTCATCTCATATCAAATGCAATTCGTGATGAAGGAGAAACGAATCAAAAACAACAGAGACTGAGAAATTAACAAAGAATCATGACAATCATCATTCCAAGTCAACTAAATTTAATCATGAAAATTTATTCTTCCTCTTCTTATTGAAAACAAATTTCCTGAAACGACCTTAATCCAGTTCCATTCCATGACAATTTACTAAATCACCTGAATCTATCTAAGTACCTGAATAAGAAAAGGAGACATTTAACAAAAAATACATTCGTAATTCATCAAAATTCACTAATTATAGTCCAATAATCATCTTCAGAAAATATAATCAACCAGAAGTGAATAATTTAACCACTTTACTGCACAATTAACAATTTAACACTTGATCATTACAATAGATCATTTTTTTTCCTGTTGAAATTTAATCAAAAGACTGAATCAAGTAAACTGTTAATGGTTATCCAAGTAAGTGGATTAAAATTATTTGATGAGGAAAAAAATCATTCATCAACTTAATTGTTATCACTCATCTTAACAATAATTTAATTGTAATTTTCCCACCAGAGCGAAACTTTTAACTTTTCATCAATGTCAAATCAACCTGACCAATCATATTTATTTAATTATTTATTTAATTGTTTATTTTAATTGTAATTTATTGTGATTACTTCGTTATTTTATTTTCCCGATTGTTGTGTTCATATCGATATGTTTTAATTTTAGCTTGAAAAATTAACTCTGCTGATTTAATATTAATTGTACAAAAAACTGTTTCATATTTTTCGGATAATTGTTATCATCATCTTCCTGTTAACAGTTAATCATTATAAAGTTATCAATCTTCTGAATAAATGGTTAATAATCAACAACTGATTTATTAATTTTTCAGTTACACAATATAACGAAATTAAAGATAATCGTACAATTAAAATACAAAAATTAACAATAAACGTAAATGATATTAATTGAAATGATAAGAAAAAGAAATTACAATCAAAGAAAAGTGATTAAAATTTGTGACTGATTTAGAAGAGAAAGAAAATCAAAAATATGACAAAAATTAAAGAAATTGATTTAGTTAATTGAAGGATAATTGGTAATCAAACTGCTTGGTAATTATTGTTTTCCATGTTGAGTTGATTAAACTTTTTGTTTGCTATAGCTTGTTTACTTTTACATGATTAATTGGTTGATTGTAGTTAATCAAATATCACAATCCATTGATCAAAATTTACAATAATCCAAATAATCAAAAAAGTTTCAAGGTGAGTATGAAAATTTGTGACCTCTCATCATCTAAACAAGTAATTAACTTTTAGATTAAGCAAATTTTTGAGAGAAAAAAAAACTCCTTAAATTACAATTTAATTAATTATCACTTGATCACTTGATTTAGTCCCATGAAACGTGAATATTAAACATTGGTTGCTCGTCACATCAGCTACAATTGAATTAACGATCAAAATAAGTGATTCAGCCTCTCGACAATTTATCATTTGCTTTGAATGGTCAAGGTAAGTGAGTTAATTGTCCAAAAAAATTGTAGCCTCATCATGGTAAATGTTTAAGTTAATCAAAAGGTAATTTCTTTGTTCATTCTAACAGGTAAATCAATCATTTGAAGATTAACAGATTATTGGTCCGATGAAATTAAGGTTGCGTTGTTTCGTAGGTAACGAACAGTTTTGAGGTCCGAATGAGTGGCCAGAAAGTAGGACATGATTATGATGAAAAATGTTATCGTGATGCTGAATATGAGTGAAGTTTTATTATGTTGACTCTCGAAGGAAATATATTTTTTCTGAAGAACTGCCATTCGTTGGTGTATATGGAGTTGCTGTTGCTTCTTCGAGTCTTGTTCATCTTCACGGGCCTTGAAATGGACTCGATGGACTTTCTTTTTCTCACCAGTTGAGCTTTTGTTAATTTTACAGGTAATACAATGAGATTTGATCAATTGTTTATTTTCTTCATCCTGATTGCACCATAGATTGTAAAATTCTGAACCAGTCATTGATTTTACAGTAACGGGTTGACTTTCAATCAAAATTTTGTCAATTTTATTATTTCGGACGATACCTTCGAGTCCAATCAATCGGACAAGATTAACTTTAAATGTTGATTTGGGTAAAATTAATCCAATTGCAGGGGTCACTCGGTATTTTAGGCTATTGTTGGACTTGATTTTAAAGGCAATCACCTTATCACAGATATTATGGATTAACAGTTGACTTGACAAATGTTCATTATCCAAGTTATCAGAAAATATTAACTGATTTGGTTCAATGATCAAGTAGGTTTGGTTCATTTCTGGTGCTTCTTGTGTAACTTCAATAGCTGTTGTTTTGATTAAATTGTCATTTGCTTTCTCATCATACATATTTGTTGGATTGATATAAGTTTTACCCTCGGTTTCTTTATCAGGTATCGACATCTCTGTAAATATTGAGACAATCTTGTCAATTTGCTGATTATTTAATTCATCAGCTTTCAACAGCATTTCCTCCAGTTTGGGAGCACCTTTAGGAGAGTAACGATAATCTCGAGTACATGATCCACCCAGGAAATCAGGTAAATTATTCTCATCGACATAATCAAAAATTTGTGGTCCTTTGCCGAATTTGATGATTCCCATGTTCTCCTTTGGTACCAAGGAAAGGGCAACCTTTTGGATGGCGTTTAAATACCAGGGAAGATTATAGATGAGGACATACTTGATGGAATAGGGAAAGTAATTGGTTCCAGTGTCGGTGAAATATTTCAAAAAGGTCCAATCAATACTTGAAGTAGAAGCACCAGTAAGGTCAAAGATCATACCGATACCATTTCCATTAGTGAAAGAATCCATTTTATCCAGCAAATGGATTACATATTGTCGAAGAATATTTTCCATCTCTGGTATCTTTCGATACTTAGAAACACGAAGATAGACAACAGGGTGACCTTCCCTGTCACATTCATAAGGAAAAAGTAAACTGCTAGTGAAAATTTCAACAGGGAAATTATAATCTTTCATTGATCTCAGGTTCATTTCTTTTCTCCAACAAAGAGCAGCTCTTAACGCCTTATAACCAAGATCAACTTTCCTTTTAGAAATCAATAAAAATCTCTTCACAAACCAATCATCATTCAACACTCGCTTATAATCAGTCTCATCGAATAAATCTGTAAAATAAAAAAGAAATAAAACCAAAGATAATCACAACACAATTACCAAAAAACAGAAACAAAATAGAAAACAAAATGGACCAGAAAAAAAAGAAAACAAGAATAGAATAGAAAACAAATAAACGTCACCAAAGGGATAAACAAGCAAAACGATAGTAATCAAATTAATCGGAATCCGAAAAGAAGGCCAATCAAATGAGACGGAAGAGAAATAATGAAACAATTTACTTAATAAATTAACCAAAATAACTGACCTGGATCTTTTCTGTAATCATCTTCAATAGATTGGCGAATCTGTTTAACTGCTTCACCACTTCGATTGGTCCTTTCCTTGTTGTTGTTGGACATAATTCCCAAAGAAAACACAGAGAGAACAACAAGTAGAATATAAAGAAAAGGAAAACACTTTTCTCAAAAGTCACTGTTCAAATGAATCAACATTAGAATTGAAATTGAGTAATTAACAAAAAGAAAATGAAAAAATAAAGAAACAAAACAAAAATTGAGGAAAAAAATGGTTCCTCAATCTCATTAAGAACAAGGTAACATCAGGATGAAACGAAAGTCACAAGATGTTCGGCTTAACATTTCCACTTTCAGCTTATTCTTTTCGGCTTGAGATTCGCGGCTCACTCATTCCATGCACATGTTACCTCATTCAGCTTGAGTGTCAACATGGAGTTTAAATGATTGTTATTGTTGTTTAATTGTTGCCATTTAAATTCAGTGATGTGATTAGAGTGTCACATTTATGAATTTATCAAAATGATTGACAAAAACATTGAATCTTTGGTTTGTTTTGCCTGTTGGAGTTTCTTTGCTTTCTATTCACTGTATTTATTTGGATCAGTTATTGATGGTAAGTGTTTATTTTGATTCTTTTGATTGAGTTAATTAATTGATTTGCTTTTTTTCTTGCTTATTTTTTCATCTAATTTAAATTTTCTTGGGGTTTCTTTAGTTATTAAAGATGATTTAGATTCGCGAGACCTTGAGAAAGGTTGGTTTCTCTCCAGGTATCGAGACGTTACTGACGTCGAGTGGCACATTTTAAAGTATCTCAATCTTAATTATTTATTCATCTTTGTTGGTCATATTCTTGTCTCACAATTAACATGGAAATACATTCCTCAGGTAAGTAATTGATATTCCTCTAATTGTTACCTTTGGGTTAGTATGAGTCACTTGAGAGAAAAACATTGGAGTGAAGCGGGAAAAGGAAATTGTTTTTCTTTCGTTTCTAATATTCTGTTGGATTAATTATTCTTTTAAATTGTTTTTATTATTTTTTTTCTAATTTCTATTAGCTTTCTTTATCTGTGATGATCACCTATGGAACTATTTGTATATGGATTGTCCTTGGAAAACTTGCAGTTGTTATTGTTTACCTCAATATTTTCGCTGCTTATCTAATCCATCTGATTAGAAAGCCACTTCTTTGTCATTTATTTTTCATCTTCGTACTTATCATGGCTCAGAGACCTTTATTCAGAGATCAGATTAGCCTTAGATTTGATCATGATCTTCGTAAATTGTTTATATTTGACATTCTTTTAAATTGGCTGAATGCTAAGTGTTTAAGCTTCTCATTAGACAGAATCGAAACCTCTGGACGTTGGGCTAATCCTTACGAAGACGACAATTTAACAATGATTTATGCTTATTGTCTTTACTTTCCCACCTTAATTTTCGGACCTATGCACCAATATTCATCGTTTTTAACAGTGAGTTTAACATCTCAAGTTGATTCGCTTTTCAATTGTTTTCCTCTAAATTTGTTCTCTTACTTTTAGAATATGGTTTTTCGAGTTGATTGGAATTCAAGGAAATTTATCTTATGCCTCAAACGATTATTCCAATTACTTATCTACGCTGTTATCTACGATATTCTGAACCACTACATCTATTCAACAGCATTAACTTATCGAATGAGCCTTGTTTGGAAACTCGACTCATCGACACTTTGTGCTTTCGCTTATTCTTTAATCATCATGTTCTACCTTAAATACTTAATCATGTACGGTTACTCAGAAGCTTTTGGTAATATGGACGGAATTTCTCTCGCACCTCCGCCCAAATGTGTCTCAACGATTCACTTATCCTCTGATCTTTGGCGACACTTTGACCGTGGACTTCATCTTTGGCTTGTCAAGTAAGAATGGCTTGAGAATTTACTTTAATTGTTACAATAATTTCTTTTGATTTTTCCCCATAGATACTATTACAAACCAATTCTTTCCCTTGGTAGTAATATTTTGGTCAAAATTTTCGCAATGTCCATTTGCTTTTCAATAGTCGCCGTTTGGCATGCACTTAGTGGCGATGTAATTGTTTGGTGTATGCTCAATTTCTGTGCTGTTGCAATCGAATTAACTGGAATTAACGTTCGACGATTATTTTTCAATAATTTTGAAACACAATTATCAACCAAAGCAATTAAAAGATGGAAATCACTGATTGCTGCTCCATTTTATATCATAATGATAATTACAAACACTTTTTTCTTGGCCAACACTCAAATTGGACTTCACTTATTTAAGAAAGTTTTATTCTCATTCCCATATCCAGCTCTTCCCGTTTTAATAATCGCATACACAGCCTGTCATGTGTCTATCGAATTGAAAGAATTTTAATTTAAATCAAGAGAAAACAAAACAAAGGCCAATACAAAACCAACAATCAACAAATCTCATAAACGAAAATCAAAACTTTCACTTCCTTGTAAACAAAAAAATCTCTCGCTATTATTATTGTTAACTAATGTCAACTATTCATTCATATTTAACTTTTCAAAATCTATTCACACTAATCATTGGTAATATTTGTCATAATTATCAACATTCTATCTCAGTGACAATTAATTCATTAGCAATAAACTGATTGTTAAACAAAATCTAAATTCACTTGATCATTTTGACAGAAAAGAGTAACGAGCGATTTGCTAAGAGATTGATTGATTAAAAATTGAATTAGATAATAATTAGATTAAAATTGATCTCTTGATGATTCAATTAATTCAAAAACAAATACGAAATAAGATTGAAGAATGAACATAATTATTGTTGGAACACTTTCTAATTTCTGTTGATTGATCAAGTGTTTCTAATCACATGAATTATTGAGAATCATAATTAAAGAACAAGTATTTAATTATAATTAGAAGATAATCTCACATGATTAGGAAAAATAAAATGTTTGAAAAACAGATGAAATTGCTTGGAACTTAATCATCGGTCCTTTTCTTTTTTTTTGTTGAATTTTTTTTTCTTTTTCTTTTTTGTTTCTGTTGTCTTCTCATCATCTTCTTAATTTAAAATTCATTAACTTTATTTCTCATTATGATGTTGATTAAATTGTGGGAATAAGAAGTTAATCTTTATGACATTTAATATTCTCCATCAGTGATCCTCCTTTCCCATTCCATTTATCATTACAACATCTTCAAGTATATATTATCCTTATCTCTCAGTGATTAATCAGTTTGGTTACTAATTTTATTTAATTTGTAGCTATCAACTTGGAAGGATTGAAATCAAATGTGATAATTAAATAATCAAAGAGTTTGTTATTGTTGAGATTTTATTTACTAATCCTATCAAATTAACTCTGTTGTGCTGGTACTTTTTCATCCTTACATCATCATTTTCATCATTTTCCTCATCATCATCTTCGTCATCATCCTCGTCATCATTCAGTCTCCTCAAGGTCATTTTCTTGAAAATTGTATAATTAACCTTGATAATTATTCATAGAGTTAAAACACGTTTCAGTGTGGTTTTCTCATTTCTTTTCCTCTCTTATTAACTCTTGCTTTTCAACAATCAATTCTAATTTTTTCAATATGGTTAACCAATACGGCCGATTTATTAATTTCTCCGCTGGACCTTCAAGATTACCTGAAGAGGTTAGTTATTCATAAATTGTCTCTAAAAAAGAATAAAATTTGTTCTTTTTTATTGTTGATTTGCATTTGATTTTCTCTTTGGAGAATTTTTTGGTCTACTCTTTTTAGCCCTTTTTCTTTTTGTATCTATTTTTTTTTCTTTTTATAGATTTTGGTAAAAGCTGCAAGTGAATTACTTAATTATGAAGGATCAGGATGTAGTGTTATGGGTATGTAAACGTTAATCTTTCGCCAATATTTATTCTAATTGTAACCAAGATTAATCTCTTTTTCTTTCAGAGCTTAGCCATAGATCAGCTCAATTCAGTAAGATAATCACTGAGGCGGAAAATGATTTAAGAGAATTATTGTAAGTATTTGTGTCTCATTGGTTTATAAATTGATTAATTTTCTTGATTCCTTTAAGGTCAAAAATAGACACTCATGCGATTCTCTTCTTCAAGGAGGTGGAACTGGCCATCTCGGCAATCGCCATGAATTTATTATCTAATCCCAATGAAGCTGCCGATTATCTTGTCACTGGTTCCTGGTCAAAAGGCATTTGAAGAAGCTGCAAATATGGTAAGTGAAACAAGCCAATCCACCTACCAAAGTCACCTCGATTCCAGATTGATTTACCTGAATATAATTACTGGATGCCAAGTACGTTTACTATTACATGAAACCATTCATGGGATTGAATGTTATTGAATTCTAAATGTTGCCAGAAAACATTCCTCTTGTCGCCGATATGTCATCTAATTTCATGACTCGAGCTGTTGATGTTTAAAATACGGTTAATCTTTGCTGCAGCTCAGAAAAACATTGGAATCGGTGGATTAACGGTTGTTCTGTAAGATTTAATTGTAAATCCCAATTACTCCAGTTACCTATGATTACAAACCGATGTTCGATATCAATTATTTTACAACACTCCACCTTGTTTCGCGTTAGTATATATCGTTTTTCATTTCGAATCATGATCAATTGTATATCAATTTCTGATTGTAAATCTTTTTCCTCATCTATTTGTAGTATCTATATGACAAACCTTACTTGAAATGGATCAAGAAAGAGGCGGACTTCTGCTATGGAGGAAAATAGTAAAGTAAATCGAAAATGATTTACGATAATCGAAATTCTAATGGTTATTATCATTCATCAATCGATGTTAACTGTCGAAGTCGAGTTACTATCCCATTTAGATTGGTGACCAACGGTAATCTACCTGAAGCCAATTTCTCAAAGAAACGATATTAGCCGGAATGATCAACTTAAAGGCCATCGATCGGTTGGTGGGATACATTTCAATTTTCAATGCCATCTCCATTGAAGATACCAAAACATTGGTACAATTTATGGAGCAATTTATGAAAGCTAATCCATTATAAAGAAAAGATTGTTTCATTAACCATTAACAAATTTAACGAGACAATTGAAAGAATCTATTAATTAATTCTAACACTAATCCTGCCAACTTTATAATGAGCCAACAAACAAGAATCAAGTTAACAATTACAGTAAAACCTCTGATAATGGAACTTTACGATTACACGGTCCCTGTCAATATGCTTAATTAATGCAATAATTAATTGCTATTTGTAATTGTTACAATCGTTTTGCTGTTGATTAATGTATAAAAAGTAAACATTGATTAGTTTGTGTTTCTCATCAGCTGAAAGTATAAAATTGTCTCCATGGTTTTGAATGATCAATTTGATTACTCCTTTATTTTACGTTCCTTTTTAGATTGTTTTTCAATCATTAATTAATTTAATTATTGTTCAATTGTTCTCACCTACAATCGTAAACAATTTACTGTCTAACAATTAATCTCTTAATCAAAGATAAACTCTTTTCTTTAATGGAAACATCAATACTACTGTTAACATGGTAAGATTTTTCTCTTGTTCTCAACAATGATAATCCACTCTTTCCTGTTAATTGATCATCATCATTATCAATTGTTATGGTTTGTTTTCTCAACTTTCAGATCAATTTAATATCGTTTGACCTCGTTGAGTTAATCAGTTACTTGAACTAAATTGCTCGAAGGTAACACCCAAATGGAAAATTGTTTTTCTTTATTTCATTTTCCTTTTAAAACTTCATTTTCTATATTGTTTTTAATTTTTGTAGAATTTTATTTCTCTAAAGTTTAGTGTTTATCTTATTTTTCTTTCAGTCAATCTAACTGATTTCTCTCAATATGTCCATTTTCCAATCAATTGGTTTCTATCTTCTCTTTATTCCTCAGTGTGATTATATTGGTGAGAAATTGGCCTTTGGTTTGGTATCACTAGGCCTAAACCATGAGGCTGAGATTCGTGAATATTATTGGATGAAGGAACAGAGAAGAAGAAGAAATCAATTGAAGCCGAGGAATTGGATGGAAATCTGATGGTGATTATGTTGATTCTCGAGACTCAGTTGAATTGATTAGAAAGATTTATGTAATCTCTACCTGAAACAAGATGACATTAGGTCATCAGGATGTTACTAACTTATTTCGTCCATTAATTGTGCTTAATTTACACCCAATCCATCAATTTAAAGTTCTAATCAAGTGCTTCCAAAAACTAGCTCAATATATTTCATTCATTTTACTTATATTATTTACAACCATTTAATTCTTTAATCAACTATCATTTCGAATGGTTTTATAGTTGGTTCATCAACTAGTTAAAATGACCAATCATCAATTTGAAATCTATTTCATACTAATCAATTATTGTGCTCAATGTTATGTTGATATTCTTTAATTGGCTTGAATGCTATGTTTAAGCTTCATTAGATTAGAATCGAAAACTCTTGGACGTTATTAATCCTTACGAAGACGACAATTTAACAATGATTTATGCTTATTGTCTTTACTTTCCCACCTTAATTTTCGGACCTATTACCAATATTCATCGTTCTATTGGTGAGTTTAACATCTCAATTTGATTCGCTTTTCAATTGAAGTTTAATGTTTTCCTCAAATTTGTTCTCTTATTTTTAGAATATGGTTTTCAAGTTGATTGGAATTCAAGAAATTTATCTTATGTCTCAAACGATTATTCCAATTACTTATCTACGCCATATCATGATATTCTGAACTACTACATCTATTCAAAGCATTATCATCGAATAGCCTTATTTGTAAATACTTTGTAATTTTTGCTTTAATTTTATTCTTCATCATCATGTTACTTAAATATACTCATGTTACTCAGAAGCTTTTGGTAATATGGACGGAATTTCTCTCGCACCTCCGCCCAAATGTGTCTCAACGATTCACTTATCCTCTGATCTTTGGCGACACTTTGACCGTGGACTTCATCTTTGGCTTGTCAAGTAAGAATGGCTTGAGAATTTACTTTAATTGTTACAATAATTTCTTTTGATTTTTCCCCATAGATACTATTACAAACCAATTCTTTCCCTTGGTAGTAATATTTTGGTCAAAATTTTCGCAATGTCCATTTGCTTTTCAATCGTCGCCGTTTGGCATGCACTTAGTGGCGATGTAATTGTTTGGTGTATGCTCAATTTCTGTGCTGTTGCAATCGAATTAACTGGAATTAACGTTCGACGATTATTTTTCAATAATTTTGAAACACAATTATCAACCAAAGCAATTAAAAGATGGAAATCACTGATTGCTGCTCCATTTTATATAATAATGATAATTACAAACACTTTTTTCTTGGCCAACACTCAAATTGGACTTCACTTATTTAAGAAAGTTTTATTCTCATTCCCATCCAGCTCTTCCTGTTTTAATAATCGCATACACAGCCTGTCATGTGTCTATCGAATTGAAAGAATTTTAATTTAAATCAAAAGAGAAAACAAAACAGGCCAATACAAATCACCAACAATCAACAAATCTCATAAAAGAAAATCAAAACTTCTTCCTTGTAAACAAAAAATCTCTCGCTATTATTATTGTTAACTAATGTCAACTATTCATTCATATTTAACTTTTCAAAATCTATTCACCCTAATCATTGGTAATATTTGTCATAATTATCAACATTCTATCTCAGTGACAATTAATTCATTAGCAATAAACTGATTAACTGTTAAACAAAATCTAAATTCACTTGATCATTTTGACAGAAAAGAGTAACGAGCGACCCCTTGCGTCGAGATATTTGAACTTCCACAATAACATTAACTCCTCTTACTTTTTGATTAACATTGAAATTGTTTCTCTTGTTGATTCTAATTAGTATTCAGTAATTAGCTTAATGTTGTGTAATAATCAATGTATGTTTCTCCTTTTTGAGATGTTTCCATCAATCGCTCTTGTTGCCTAATCTAATCGGAGTATTTATTGTGTAGATAAAAACATGAATATGATGTTGAAGGTTATTCTTACTTGTGCTTGTGGATTCATTAGTTGATCTTTAATTGTGAATGATTAACATGTTCACTGAATTAATTTTCTTTGTTGGTAATTTTTTCACTCGATTGAAAAACTTTCTCATCTCTAAACGAATTCATCTGATGACAATTACAACCATTCTCTTGATTCTTTATGATGTCAAACTGTTGAAGAGAATTGCTAACCTTGAGCCAAGTAAGTTAATTACTATTACTTAATTTCTTTGGTAAATATTGATTCTAATCTTTGATTTTTTTTCTCCTTCCTTTTTAATCAGCGAAAATAATCTATTCTTCTAGTCTATGTTTTCTACCTACTTGGCGTGATGATTTAAACACATCTGAGTCTAATTGTTTTGGTAATTGTTGTGCGACTAGTAAATTTGATCTCAACTCGGATTTTAATTGTATTGTCTCATGTAGACCATCATTAATCAGTTTCTTTAAACAATCCAATGTTTTCTTCACCTTTCTACCGGTCAAAATAATTCCAGAGGCAAGAAAAAAAGTAATTTCAATTTCTCTCTATGGTTATGCTGATCTGTATCTTAGAAACTCAATCAAAGTGATTCATAATTACAAGAAATTACTCCCCGATTGGATTTGCCGTTTTTATGTTGGATCAGATGTATCGCCTCTTTTAATTAATCGCCTTATTCATGAAGGTGCTGAGGTGATAATTGTTTACCAGAATCAGCCCAATGGTGATAAGGATAAGTCAAAGATTCCAAGTTTCCATGGTATGTTTTGGCGCTTCTTTGTCAGCGAAGATGAGAATGTTGATCGTTACCTGGTTAGAGATTCGGACAGTTTACCAATTCAACGAGAAATTGATTCGATTAATTCTTGGATTAGTGAGGCGAAAATGTTTCACGTTATGAGAGACCATTTTGAACATGCGACCGAAATTCTTGGCGGTTTGTGGGGTGGAATAGTTAATTTGAACCAATTCAATTTGTCTTCTCTTTATGAGATATCATTGATCGATGGATACGATCAATTAGATGGAATTTGGATTGATCAATATTTCCTTCGATATTATGTTTGGCCTATTGTTCGGGAAAATATGACCTGTCATGTTTCTTATAGATGGTGGGGAGTTGATTCAACTGGATGTAAAGATTTTCCAACTCAAAGAATCGGCAATCAATTTGTTGGAGCCAGTCAATCATAATGGTAATTGAATCAAATTGGAAAACATCATGATCATCAATGAAAATGAAAATTTTAACCATAAGACTGAGTTTTAATTACAATCTGATTGGTCAGAAAAATTGATCCGGAACCAAAGAATTGAATGTATCAAGGAAATCATTTTAATCACAGTTACACAATTGAAAGAAAATGATTATATTTCCGTTGATTACCACTGGTAATTAACCCAAGGTTCATATTTAGCCAAAATATTTTCAACGTCATCACAATCAAGATTTTTCTGTACATTGATTGTTACAGTTAATTGTATGTAATGGTATATTCAATCATTTTTCTGATCAACCAGAAAAGAAACTACAATGAAATTGACTATTTAATTTCCAACATTGAAAATGTTAATATCTGCTCTATGTTAATTACATGGATGATAAAAGTAATTCATTAATGATCTTAATTAATGGAAACAATTAACATATGATTAAGAAAACGATAGAAAACAAAACTTGCTCTTTTCACGATTTTCTCAACTCATTGAATTGATTTGCAGATGAGAAATTGTCTTTATCATGTTGATGAAATTCTGTGAAAAAGAAACTGTAACAATATATTTTCTCCAATAATTAGCGAGAAAAATTGAACAATTAACTCAATTTCTCACTAATTGTATCTTTAGGTGGCTTATACCTTCAAAATGACAATTGTTATGAGTCAATTGTTAGATGGAACCAATTACAATTATCTCAAGTTGATTATAAAGGAATTATGAGATCAGTTGTTATTAGGTTAAAGATTATTAATCGAATGAGATTAAAATTTTCTTCCTGATCAATCAAAAAAAAAACAGAAACAACAATTAGATACATTATATGATTTCCAACATGAAAGTTAAACTCTTCAGGTTTCTCAATCCTTCCTTACCTTTAAGAGTGTAATTTATTGATTATTGATCATTAATGGTTTTCAAAAATTGAATCTTAACACGATGCCAGAAGAGATCAATTATCAACCAAGTTAAAATAAAACAATTGATTTAAACACAATCAAAATAAACAATCAATCAAGATGATGATGGTCACCAAAGTGTCAGAAAAAATGTAAACACAACAAGTCTCATAGTCTGATTGAAATATAAAATACAATAAGAATTAAAGATTAACAATTACGAGTAAAAGTAGAAAGATTATACTAAGAGATTGATTGATTAAAGAATTGAATTAGATAATAATTAGATTAATAGTGATCAACAAGATAATACAATTAACACAAAAACAAATACGAAGATGGTTAAGATTGAAGAGGGAACATAATTATTGTTGGAACACTTTTCTAATTTAAGTTGATGATCAAGTGTTTCTCTGTTAATTACATGAATCATTGGAGAATCATAATTAAAGAACAAGTATTTAATTATAATTAGAAGATAATCTCACATGATTAAGGAAAAGAGAAAATGTTTGAAAACAGATGACAATTCGCTTGGAACTTAATGATCGGTCCCTTTTCTTTTTTTTTTGTTGAATTTTTTTTTTCTTTTTCTTTTTGCTTCTGTTGTTCTCTCTCATCATCTTCTTAATTTAAAATTCATTAACTTTATTTCTCATTATGATGTTGATTAAATTGTGTGCGAATAAGAAGATAATCTTTATGGACATTTGATATTCTCCATCAGTGATCCTCCTTTTCCCCATTCCACCTTTATCATTACAACAACATCTTCAAGTGTATTATCCTTAACATCATCAATTTGATTCTTCATCACCGTTAACCTCAGTCTTCATCTCTACTCTTTTTGCCAGTCAGTTTTTTTTTGTTGGTTCTTTTCTATCATCATCATCTTTTTCTTTTTTTTCCTTTCTCACTTTAACATCTTTTCTACATATGCAGTGAAAACACTATTCTAATCCATGGATCTATCCAGATAATCTTACTTTCTCTTATTCATCTTTCAGTTGTATGTGTGTGGGTTGTTTATGCCCCTGAATTTTATTCTGTTTTCGCCTATTTAGTTTTTTGGTTGAAATTCACATTCAAGAGAAAACAAGAGACTGAGAGAGATAAAGAGAGAATATTTACCTGAGATTATCTCTCAATAGGCTTGTGTTTCTATTCTGTTTTTGCTGCTTCTTTTTATCTCTCTACCTTGTTTCTTGTTTCTTGTTTTTGACATTATCTGTTAATGTACATAACCCCACCAACACCAACAACAACACTACCAGCAGCATCTTCAACTTAATCATGTCTTCAGCCAGTTCACCTGAGGTTAACAAAGAAGGTCTCAATAATAATAACAATAATAATAATTTGGCCAACAACTTTAATAACAATCAAATTAGAATGTCACAATCACAGTCACAAGAGTCACAAAATAATTTATATCAAGGACTTCGCCGTCATCAACTAAATCAGTCACAACAACAACAACAATCAATGCTTCCACCAGCAATACCAAATAAAACAATCAGTTCATCAATCAGTTTATCAAAAAGATTTTCAGAGTTACAAACTCTATTATCCATGGGACCAACACTTTTTGATGGTAAATCAATCAATTGTGAACTTTTATTTGATGTTCTTATTGCGGTTTACTATGAATGTCAGCGTGTAATTGCCACAACTCGTAGTAAAGAGCAGCAGAAATTTTGTGAATCGATTAAACCCTTTCTGGACAGATTAAAAGAATTACAATTAAAGGCAATCGACTTTGATACAATCAAAATAATTGGACGTGGTGCTTTTGGTAAGGTGGCCCTGGTTAAGGGTAAAGAGGATGGAAATGTTTATGCGATGAAAACGCTCAACAAATTGGAGATGTTGAAAAGAGCTGAGACAGCTTGTTATCGAGAGGAAAGGGATGTATTGCTCCATGGATCGGAAGCCTGGTTTACTAAGCTTCATTACGCTTTTCAAGATGAAACAAATCTTTATCTTCTAATGGATTATTATTGTGGTGGCGATTTGTTGACCCTTTTAGCCAAATACGATGAAAATTTTCCCGAAGATATGTCCCGATTTTACACCGCTCAAATAGTCTTAGGTTGGTTATTTTTCCTCACAGAATTAACTCTTTTGTTATCACTATTATTCAATCAATATTTTATTACACTACAGGTTGTTAATCAATCTATTTTTATTTGTATTACCAAGAAAGAATATTTTTGTTGCTCATTAATATTTTCCCTTTTTTTTGTTCCTTCCTCTCTCTCTCTCTCTTTCTCCTCCCTCACTTCTTGATTCCTTTCTGTTGAAATCATCATCATATAGCACTTTCCTATCTACATGATATGGGTTACATTCATCGAGATGTAAAACCTGATAACATTTTAATAGATTCACATGGTCACATCCGATTAGCAGATTTTGGTTCATGTACTAAGGTTACACAACTTCGTAAGGATGGTCACTTCACAATAGCCGTTGGTACACCGGATTATATTTCACCCGAAATACTTAAATCTATGGAGGGTAACCGTAATACCGGTTTACTTTACTCTTTTGAGGTTGATTGGTGGTCATTAGGAGTGGTCATTTTTGAATCATTGTATGGTGAAACACCATTTTATGCAGAATCGTTAATTCAAACTTATTCAAATATCATGAATCATAAGCATTGTTTCAAGTTTCCAGTTAACGCTCAGGTAACTGATGAAGCAAAGGATCTCATTTCTAACCTGATCTGTGACCAAGCTCATCGTTTTAAACGTTTAGATCAGTTTAAATCTCACCCATGGTTTACCGGTATTGATTGGGATCACCTAAGAGAAATGAAACCACCCTATCAGCCTAAAGTAATAGGACCAGAAGATACATCTAACTTTGATATTGATGATTCAGCTCCACCGACAAATAATAAGTTTGACAATTTAATTGCACCTACAACCAAAGACTCTCTGCTTAATGTTCACCTTCCCTTTGTTGGATTTACTTGTACTTTCAATACGAGTAAAAGTAGATCACAATCATCTTCATCTTTACCCTCATCATCATCACCAACATCATCTGAACAACAAAATGGAAGTAAATTATCACCATCTTTTTCTGAATCCAATCCTCCACTTTGTGTAATTGATTCAGCTGGTTCAAGAGATTCATCAACCATTGGTAAAAAAATTGATCCCACTGCTTATGCTAAATTGGAAAATGAGCTTTGGATCGCTCGACATGAATGGAGTGAACTTTCTGTCAAGTTGAATGAACTGAGAAAAGAAAAAAATTCAATCTCTGCTACTTTAAGGGTAAAAGAAGAAGATTTGGAACGAAGTTTGGAAAAGATTATTGAATTACGACAACAGTTAAGAAATGCTGATAAAGTTAAACGGCAACAGTTAGAAGACATGATACAGATCCAGAGTGAACTTGAAAAGGAAAGACAGTTACGCCAGGAAATTCAAGTAGAAACAAAAGAATCGGAAGCAAAATTGGCTCATCTGGAAAAACAATTGTCAAATATTGAGAAACAGGAGCAGCAAAACAATACATCCAATATGTCTAATGGTCCAAATGAAAAGGAGAAATATTATCTTGCTCAAATTGCTGATTTAGAACAAGAAGTTCTTCGATTGAAAGGTGAAGAAGAAGAAAGAATCGCTTCCATAGCTCATAAATGTCATGTCGAGGAACTTGAGCAACAAGTTCTCCAATTACAACAACAACAACCCCACTGGGAGAGGCAAATAACTGAGATTATTGACTGGGTCGGAAATGAAAAGGAGGCACGGAACTATTTACAACAAATGGCCGCCACTATGACAAAGGAATTAGATACACTTAAACATCATCATCAACTTCAACAAATTCAACAACAACAACAACAAAATGCCAATCAACAACGTGCCAATGAAGCTACTTCTAATAACGACAGTGGCCATGGTTCAAGTGTCCATGCATATGTCCCAAAAGAAGCCGTTAATCCAAATTATACAACTTGGCAAGAGAGAAGATCAGCTCGTGTTGATAAACAAGAATTGTTACAATTACAGTTTGAATTAGCCAATGAAATTGAAGATAAACAAAGGATACAAGATGATTTAGCCAAAGCACAGAAAGAGATTTCTCTACTTAATGGAGATTTAGCTGAGTTGCGAATAGAAATTGCGAAATTGAAGAATCAGCAAACATTCAAAAGGCTGAGTAATGATTCATCAATGTTATTTGGATCATCAGTTAATTCTCGACGAATCTCAGCTGGTAAAATGATGGAAGAAATTGAAATGCAACTTGGACGAATAGGAATGACCTCACCAATGGGTGATTCGGATACAAGTGACATCGAATCGGAAGATGCTTCTCCCTCATCATCAGCTGGTACTCGATCTCGAGGTGCTATTAGTGGTGCAGGAAGTTCAATGGAACCTCAATTATTATTATCACAACAATCAAATTTCCCAAGTAAACAACAACATTCATTTATTGTTCGCACTTTTGTTGCACCATTGAAGTGTTTCCATTGTACATCTTTGATGATTGGTTTAATTAGACAAGGTCTCATCTGTGAAACCTGTGGATTTGTTAGTCATATTGCCTGTGCCTCTCAGGGTATTCAACTGTGTCCCTGTGATGACACAAGCCAACGTCCTCAAGGAATTGATCCTTCACGAGGAATCGGTACTGCATATGAAGGATACGTTAAGATACCAAAGGCTCGGGGTGGAGTTCGTAAAGGCTGGATCCGTATGTTTGTCGTTGTCTGTGATTTTAAGCTTTTCCTTTACGATCTTTACTCTAGTAGTGATAATAATTATCCTTCCCATGGTTCTCATGGAAGTGGTTCTGGGTCTGGAGTTGATGGTACCCTTAGTGGTCCAACAGTTACCCCGCCGGTTTCCGTAAACACTGTTATCGATATGAGAGATGAAAGATTTTGTATAAGTGGAGTCCAAGAATCTGATGTTATCCATGCTAATAAGAAAGACATACCCTGTATATTTAGAATCACAACATCCATGGTTTCAAATAGGGTTGATCAAAATTTTACCCAATTAATGTTGACCGATAAAGAGGTTGAAAAAAACCGATGGATTGATGCTCTTCACGAACTACATCGAATCATCCGACGAAATAAACTTAGTTATCGAAATGTAAGTAACTAGAAATGAAAAATATCGAATTTGATTGAACAATTTTTTCTTCCCTTTCTTTTCGATTGGTTTATAGCCGCTCAAAGCTTATTCTGTCCTGAATTCCTACCAAATATCTGCCCTTCGACATCACAACGACATCAATAGTTGTTGTGTTATCGATGAGACTCGACTACTTATTGCCTGTGATGACTGTCTCCTTTGCTGTGACCTGGACATTTGCACGGCAAGACGATTAACAAATTCCAAGAGAATCGTTCAATGTCACTACTCTCTGAATGATCAACTGATAATTGTTTTAGCTGGTAAACAAAGACATATCAAATTAATACCAATCAGAGGCCTTGACAACGATGGTATTGAATGGATAAAAATACCTGAAACCAAAGGGGCAAATCTTTTCGCTGTTGCCAATCTCCCCACCACTACTTATATTTGTGTTGCCATTAAAAAGACTCTAATCCTTTATGAGATTACCCGTAAAAGAACCCGATATAATCTATGGAGAGAAATCCAATTACCTCTTTTAATACAAACTCTCTCAATTGTGGACAATATGGTTTCCATTGGTACCAAATCTAGTTTTGTTGTTTATCAGATTAACCATCGAGAACAACCTCCACTTTGTAAGTTTTTTTTTTCTCTTCCTCTTTTATATTCATTCATCGATTTGGTTTCCACAATTATTTAATCTTCAATCTCATTTTTCTCCCTGATTATCATAGATTTGGTTAATCAAGAATGTCAAGAATTATCTTTCTTAATCCAAAATCCAATTGATGCTTTACTTTCAAGACAAATCAATGAAAATGAATGGATACTTGTTTTTGCTCGTAAGTTATTTCTTTGGACCTAAATCGCGATTGTTCTGATTAATGTAAATTTCTTTTAAATAATCTAATTAATGGATGAAAATTTCTCTCTTTTTTTCCTAGCCTATGGAGTTTATGTTGATTCATCTGGAAAACGTACACGACCCATTGAACTTCAATTCCCATCTCAACCAAGTTATGTTGCCTCCTTGGAAACCGAGATAAATAATAAACAAGTTCAATTACTTTTAGCCTTTGCTCCAACTCATATCAATGTTTTTGATCTTGAAACCACCGAATGGATTCAAACAATTAACCTTAAGGCAACCAAACCTCTCCATCAACACGGTAAAGGTTATCTTTTAGGTTTAACCAATGCCAATGATTTCCCAACGCTTGTCCAATTTGTACCAACAATCAATGGGTCACATCTTTTACTTCAAGCCAAAGGTGATGATAGTAAACCCTTCTTAGTCAATGGGTCCACTGTAGCCCAGCGGATTATTCAGACTGCAGCAGGAGTCACTGGTGATGTACCAAGAAAGGTAATCAAATTATAAAATTTTTTAAACAAATCAACTAATCGTACATTTTATAAATTGTTTACAATAGACCAAGATTACCAATCAGTGGTCCGTCTGATTTCAGCTATATCTCACATCTTGGACCTGGCGAGGTCCATTTAGTTCAAAGATTATCGATCGTAAGTATTACTCATGTTTACTTTACTTACATCTAAATTAATAATCCAATCTTAATAACTTTCTGTTTCCTTAATAATAGTTAAATCGAGCAATATTGCATCTAATCAATCAAAGAGTGTGGCCAATCGCGATACCTGTGGACCTTCTCGTCGAGATTCTACCTCCAGTAGCCAGTCATCAGTCAGTCCCTACAAATTTTAGAAAATCCCTTTTTTACAAATACATTAATTACTGTGTATATCTGGTTTATTTATAAATTTTCTTCTCACTTGATTTGTACATTATGGAAAACACAATCCTACCCCTCTCGTTCCCACCCTGGAAAAGATCAACCAAATTTCCTCCCTCCAACGAAAGCTAATAGTTACCAATTACACATCAATCTCAAGCACTACCATTTCTTAGGAAAAGAAACAAAGACAATTTATTGAACTCACAATCAAGTTACGAAAAGATGTGTACTATCATCACACCAACTGATATTGATAGTCCAAATTGAAGCTTTAACAACACACACACACACATACACAACAAACACAATTAATAATAACAATCGTTTAATTGTAACAAGACAACAAAACAAAACAAATGAAAATAATTAAGGTTTACAAGTCACTCTTTTCATATCTTTACCATATTCATCTGAGATCGTTTTTCCCCAATCATCAAAAAGCCTTCCACCGATGATTCCTTTAATTATCAAGAACAACACCATGAAAACCTCATCATCATTAACAATCATAATCATCAAATTGGCTTAATTAATAGAGAGAGAGTAGTATAAAAAGTTAACCTCTGGCACAGTTTTATACAGGGTGTACCAAAGTGAAGAAAATCATCCTACGGTGTGATCTGAATACGGGGTGCCCTTTAGGGCACCCTGTATATGGGGTCAAGTATACAAGTTAACCTCTGGCACACTATGAAAAACCATCTTTGGAGCCTTCTGAATACCGAGTGTTCTATGATGTTATTATATATGGGTTAACTTGGCACACTTCAGAAAACCTTCATAAGATGTGTTATTAAATATTATAATGGAATTTTCTATACAAGTACACTTCTAGCACATGTGGCGCCATCTGGTAATTTCCTGATCAACAATTTTGGCTTTTTTAAGCTTCAATATAATGATGTATCTTAGTTCTGATTAGTTGGAAATCTATTGGCTGTTATAAGGGAGCTTTTTCCACTCCCTCATTGTGTTATCACATAATAAATTCTATTTATATCATTTCTAGTTTGAGCTTATAAGTGTAAACATCAAAAAGTTAATTGTGAATTTTGGGTGAATTTCAACCAATTTGACTACGAAAAGTGATAATTGTGGATTTTGATGATCTTGAGTCAATCAACTTTAACCGTGAATCAACGACAATGGAACAGTTTATATTTCCGTTCTCAATAAACTTGTTTACTTGAGCAACAATTTCAACTCACAGGTGCTCAAAATCTACGAGATGAAATTCTGGATTACTTCAGTGAGCTCTGCAGAATGAAAGCCGAAGGAAACTGTAAATGTAACTTGAGTAACGATACTAATGTTACACGTGAAAATATCAAATGGTACAATACAATAATCAATAAAATTTACCTTCTTTATGAGTTTACATATGAAGAAGGGTTCTTCAGATTATTGATGCGTCTTCAAAACTTCATGAAAGCCAAGATTCAACAACTAAGATTCATGGAAAATCAAGTATCAACAAGTACAAATAATTGAAAAGTGTATACATATAAGAAACATTTTACGTTTAAATAAATACTAAATTTAAATTATAACGAATTGATATTGACTGGTTTTATTGCGTCTGTTTGAATATTTACTTTATCCCGTGTGAAAATATCACAGTTAAACTGATAAAAGTTCCGTCTATTCCTCAGCGAAGCATGGCTAGTAGAATAATAAATCAGGACACTGCAAGGAATAAAATGACTGTTCTAACAAATCGGGCTCAACATCTAAGGAAACGAATAGAAGAGATGGGTTGGTCAAGTATAAATGAATGGACTTATGAGTACGAGAAACCGTGAAATCCCACACATATTAAAACGTAAATTACCCGAAAAGAACACCCGCTTACCCACTATGTTGTGAACTAATTGAAGTCGATATTATACGGATGCAAATTTACGAGGATTAATCGAAAATATACACGCTCCTACTAACTCTATCATGTATACTCAATTAAATAACTAATTCAAATATGTTAATTCCTATTTATAAATCTTCCGGCTCATAAACAGATTCAATGTAAACTGATTGAATTTTCAATATATGAAATAAATCATGATCAGTTTTAATTTTACGCAATTTGATATTTATTTTTCTCTCATAATTTATGTTTGATATCTGTGAGTTATGAGTTATTTTCTTCTTTAACATGGTTATATAGTAGATATTTTTTGATATTTTCGACAAAAATGGACTGAATCATGTTTCTTAATTAAGTACAATAGGGGAAGGTGTATATAATGGGTTTTGCTCGAGAGCTGTCAAGTGATGGAGTAATTGACTCATAAAGATCAATTTCATTCAATTGAACAACCAGATTGTATGTTACACAATGTTGGGGTGGCATTTTTCTTTTTAACAATTCTTTAATAGATCCAGGTAAATCGCCTAGTTTAAAAGGTAAGGTCCAGTTATCAAAATTGAAGCCAAATTCTTTGAGCTTGATGATTATCTGGACAACTTGTTGCGAAAACTCGTTTAAACAAAATCGCAAATCTTCCATAATCCTTCTATTTCTATCATTGATATTTTCTATTCGTCTATCAAGACGGTTTTCCATTTTTATAATCTGGTTGAAAATTTGAAAAGACTTGTTGATTAGTAATCATATAACTAATCTTTTTATCTTTGCTCATCACTAAAGTTTAAAGGACAACCCTAAAGGTCATCACAATTATCTTTCGGACTTGCATATTTCATTATCAAAATATGAACTTACCACTCTGAAAGTTGGAGATATATATATATATATAATGACAAAAGAAAAAATGGTGATGTAACTGAATATCTGGAGAGAAACAAATAAGATTGAATGAATGCATATATGTGTTACAGAATATTTGAACTATATTGCTCATCACTAGAGGTGAAAGGACGACCCCAAAGGTCATCACAATCATCTCTTGGACTTGCACTTTTTATTATCTAAATATGAACTTACCAGTTTGAATGTTGAAAGGTAATGAGATAAAATGTAAATATAAATAACAGCAAAAATCTGTATTAACTGAGAAATATCTGGAGAGAAACAAATTAAATTGAATGATTATTTTATATATGTCTCAGAGCATTTGAGTAACATTGCTCATCACTAGAGGTGAAAGGACGACCCCAAAGGTCATCACAATCATCTCTTGGACTTGCACTTTTTACTGTCAAAATATGAACTTACCACTTTGAAGGTTAAAGAGTAAATGAAATGAAATGAAATGAAATGAAATTGGAAAGTAAATAACATTGGCAACAAAAACATGTGTTGGTTAAAAAAACATCTGGAAAGAAACAAATAAAATTGTGTAAATATAATAAATTTGCACAGATGTTTCTAAAATATTTGACCTAAATTGCTCATTACTAGAGGTGAAAGGACGACCTCGAAGGTCATCACAATCATCTCTGGACTTACAAATTTCAACTTACCACTTTGAGTACTGAAGATTTCAATTTAAGCGAATACTCAAATCTTCATCGAAGCAAACTTCAGGGAGATACTCAGGATCACGCACCAGAGTTCGCATGATATGAATTGCTTGGACTCTGAGTAAATCAATTTCTAGGAGTGTATTATATTTTTCAAAGACTGGGCTATGTGCAGGTGGTCTCGGTCTTCTCAATATTTTTTTAATTGATCCATCCAAATCAAATTGATCATATGGTAGATCATTACCATTGTAATGATACCCATATTCACTCAACTCTTTCTCCAAGGGGACAGCTCTAACAATTAATATAGTGTAAGTGTCCAAATACTTACTATGGAGTAACCTCTTATTAATTAATTTAAAATGAAAAAAGCATCGAATTATACATTGTGGTTGAGTTAATATAATTTGGTATACTCACTCTCTCTCTATATGAAAGAACCATTTTTCTTTAGTATGAAACAGTAGTATGGTTAATTACAAAACTGATATTGTATGAAAAATTCGTTTAATAAGGGGATTATCGGGATATACAGAGAAACTTTGAATTCGGTGAAATAACAATCTGATTATGAGCTAAATAAATAAATATATTAAGGATTAGTGAATTTCCACAATCTAATTTAACTAACTATTGCTCATCACTAGAGATATAAGGACGACCCCGAAGGTCATCACAAATATCTCTCGGACTCGCATGAGAAAATCAACTTACCACTTCAAAGGTTGATCATAAACTGAGACCTCAATATGACTTACAATAATTATTTTAAATGTAGACAGAGAAAACAGACAGAGCAAAAATTGCACAATATTAACTATTGCGAAATGTTTATTGCGAAATATTTATTGCGAAATAGTTATTGCGAAATATTTATTGTGAAATTGTTATTGCGAAATAATTATTGCATCATTTGCATGTGTGTGTGCATTCAGTCACGTAGTCCATCTTTCTATTCACTTTCTCTTTCTTTTTTCTCTGTCTACTTTCTCTGTCTATTTTGCAGTCACGTGTCAAAACAAAGTATATAAATACCAAAACTAGTGGTTTTCTCTCAGTTTGTCTCCAGCTTTCGTCTTGGTAAGTTCATTTCAATGGCAGAATGCGAGTCCAAGAGATGTTTGTGATAACCTTCGGGGTTGTCCCTACATCTCTAGTGATGAGCAAAGTCTGCCAAATATTGAGTGGTAATTAATTCATTTATGTAATTAGTTTCTAACCATTTTCTTTTCTTTTTTTGTTTTTCTTTTATCGATTCAGATTTTCATTGAATTTTTAAACCATTTGTTTCAAATTCCACCATCTTATCGTTAGAAAATTTTTTCATTTTACAATAAATTTCATATCGTAAGTGAATCTTTCTTTTTCCATGCAAGTCCAAGAGATAATTGTGATGGCCTTCAGGGTTGTCCTTTTATCTCTAGTGATGTTCTGATGAATATATTAGTCAACAGGTTAGAATTTCTGTGCATTAATCGATTGATTTCTTTTCTAATTTATTTCATTAGGTGTGCAACTGTTTCTCTGAACTTTTTTCAATTTCTATTGTCAACAACAATAATGGATAGCCAGGTAAGTTTCTAATAAGATAGATTTTTGAGTTTATGTTCATAATGGATGAATTTTTCTTTA